AAAATTTATAGTTATTTAATTCAATTTGTCCTGCTAACTACAATAAATACTAAATATTAATTGAATAAATATATTTCTTAATATTTGTATTCAATTTCGGCGTAATTAGCGTAAAATATTTCAAATATGTTAATTAAACTACAATTAACTAAATATTAAAATATGTGCCAAATCTCAAATGCTTGTTGATCTAAGGCATCTCTATGCATGTGTGAGTGTTTCTGTGTTTGTGTGTGAGCTTTGCTCTCTTCCAGTGGGGGCGAAAGGTGGAAGAAGCAGAAGCAGAATGGCATGCGCAGCCGTTAAGAGTATAAGAAGAAAAAAAAAAAAAAAATCAACTTAGAGAGAGAGAGTTTAGCTCTATATAAGTTTTTTATTTGAATTGGAATGGAACTGTATGGGGACCTGTAATGCCATTGGCGTTTCCTGCGAAGTAGTCGAGCGTTTTATTTTGCAAGAGCAACTATGATGCATCGGAGTGAAAGTGCTGTGAAGAAGATTTCGATATTGGATAAAAAACATAATTTGTAATTATAGTGAGCCAGCATGGAGCAATTAGCACAGTTTGTAAATAAATCATTTGAGTTCAATTTAACAAATAATCGAGTCAACCATTTGTTCAACTCGATGACGAGTGCGCGCATCCATAAACTGGCCGACGCCACAACAACGGCAACAAAGTCCATATTAGTGAGCCCGAGCGGATTGGGCCGTGTATCTGTTGAGAACTGTGCTAACGGTGAAGAGTCCATGGACATTGATATCACCGATATTTCGGTAGCCGAAGAGAACAGCTCGGAGGATGATACGAGTCTGCCCAAGCCCCTCTCTCTAGTCAAAATCCGTTCGCTTCAACAGCAATCGATTGCAACTATTTCGGATAGTGAAGAGCTCCGTAAGACTGATCCTGCCCCAAAGCCTAAGAACTGGTTGATTTCCGATCTATTGGTATCGGATACACAATCAGAAGGTAAGTCTATTTGCCTAATTAATTAATTTAAAATTATTTCGATAAGATAACTTCATTTTGGAATGAAAAGACTGGAACTTTTTTAAATATATATTGTAGAACTTATTTATTTTCGTGAAACTTAAGTAACAGATCAAAGTATTAACGAAAATAAGTTGATATAGATATGTATCTTACCTATTACCTATCTAGGATGCGGTTGATTCCCATGATTATCCTGTTTAGTTGCCCTTTAATTCCGATTTCCTATAATTTCAGATGAAAAGTGTGAAAAGAGATCTTCCCGTTTCGACGATTCAACTGCATGTATTTCTAGCACGGCGAATAACTCGAAAGTGAATGGTGACCTGATCGTAAAATTTCAAGACTCGGATAGTAAAACCAGCAGCAAGTGCATGAATAATATGCCAGTTCCTGACATCGAGAGCTCATCAAGTAAATATAAATAAATATAAAAAATAAAATAAGTAAATGGAGCATAGTACAAGAAATGATAAAACAGGATTCTTTGCTAATGATTGAACAGCAAAATTGATAATGAAATTGATTTTTTCAATGGCCACAAAAAATAAGCTAAGGATTCCCTTTTTAAAGCAGATGACTGATTGTTAAATGTTGAGGAATCTGGTCCAAATACTTACTAAACACGGTATAAAAAAATATTCTACAGTCACCCACTTGCAGTAAATTTCAATTCTGCGACATGAGCGTAGTCATATAAACTATTTTCATCTGGGTCTGTATTCCAAACTCGAACTCCGCATATAATTCAGAATATATTGCAGCTTCAAATTGCATCTCTTTAGCTGTAAATGAAGCGAAATACACATAATAACAAGAAAGAACGTTGCAGTCGGGCGTTACCGACTACGGCATACACATTCACATCCCATCAGCAATTTAGCAGCAAAAATGTTAAAATTACAGGGCATTTTTCGATTTGAAGCTTCTAGCTATTATACTTTAGGAGATATAAACTTTTGCCGTTTGCCACGCGCCCTGTGGGCGGACAGATATCCGTCAAAGCTTTTTGGTCTTGGATGGTCAGCCCGAGTAAATATACCAAATTTTAGGCCTCTAGCATTAATAGGGTTCAAAATAGAGCAGAATTAAAAAAATCATTATATTTTCATGTCCGATTTGCCACGCCCCTAATGGGGTAAACGTATAATTTTCATTCATTAATCTTTTTATATTCATAACATTAGTGTACGTGCGAAATTTCAGCGTTCTAGCTTTAAACCTCTATGAGATACCGTTTTTTTGACACGCCCCATTGGCGTAGATATATCCGCCATAGCTCGTAATCTTGGGTGGTCGATGCGGATCTTCACCAACTAATATGATTTCTGGTATATCGGAAAATGCATTTTCTGATTTGTCACGCCCTAGTGGGCGGATCGGGAAAATTTTAACGCTTTATAAATCGGAGATATACATACACTAGTATGTCTTCCAGGACAGACGGACGGACAGCAAGACGGGCATTGCACAAAACCAATATACTAATTCACTTTCGTAAATCGAATTACCCCTTTTGCTTAAAAATTATGCACATGATACATATCACCTTAGCTTAATCTAATATGAATATGTAACTGGTGACTTTATAATTTATAATACTTAAAAAGTGACGATAATTGGACAATATCTAGACTTTCACATCCTCTTCTATTTTTGCGATATAAAGAGACTTGAAATATATAATTTATAATTATTAGGTACCCTCAAGTGTTCAAGTGTATATGAAATTAGAAATGTTCGTGACATACACCAGGGTTATATTAAATTTGGTTATATATGAAATTTATAATATATGAGTTAACAGAAATACCTAAACGGTATACAACAAGTAAGAAAGCTCTAGTCGAGACTGCTCGACTACGAGATCCCCTGAACCCTTGGAGCAATAGATATTTCAATAATTTTTCGCGTCTTTCAGCTTACACAAGAAACACGCACACACACACACACACAGGCACGTACGCACACACAGGCATACATACACACACACGCATACAGACACACATACACACACACGCATACATACACAAACGCATACACACACACATACACATACACACACACATACACAAACACATACACACACATACACAAACACATACACACACAAGCACCCACGCATAAACACGCATGGGCTGCAGTGTGCGCTTACTATGAGAACTTAATTGTTTAATAACTTTTTTTATGGACGTACGATCTTCATGAAACTTTCAGATTATGATTATAACATGGATATGCATGTAAT